TTTTTTTAAGGACAGGAAATAAAAGATTTGAGTTTCATTAGTCAGTTTGCTCAATGTACCCTTTTCATATGCAGGGTTTTTTTTTTAAACCTTTAACTAAGAAGGGACAGTAATGCTCATCGCAGTGCCATTCACAATACCAAAGACATAGAATCAACCTGAATGCCCTTCAGTGGTAGATTGGATAAAGAAAACGTAGTACATACACACCACAGAATACTATGCAGCCATGAAAAAGAATGAGATCGTGTCCTTTGCAGGAACACAAATGGAGCTGGAGGCCATTATCCTTAGCAAACTAACACAGAGACAGAAAAACAAATACCGCATGTTCTCACTTATAAGTGGGAGCTAAATGATGAGAATACATGGACAAGAAGGGAACACCACACACTGGGGCCTACCTGGGGGTAAAGGGTGGGAGGAGAGAGTGGATCAGGCAAAATAACTAAGGGGTACCAGGCTGAATATTAATACCTGGGTGAAGAAATGATCTTTCATTTCATGACATGAGTTTACCTCTATAACAAACTTGCACATATACCCCTGAACCTAAATAAAAGTTTTTTAAAAAATAAAAGGACACTGGGAGGAAAGGGAAATGAAGTATCTCACTCTTTTCTCCTGCCCCCACCTCAATCTTCAGTCCCATCTTCTGGGTCAACTAGAATCTCACCTCCTCCTGGGGTCCTTCAGAGTGTTCTCTCTGTTTTTAATATGTTTTGTCATTTTTTTATTTCAGTAGGTTTTTGAGAACAGTAGGTGTTGGGTTACATGAATAAGTTCTTTGGATGATTTCTGAGATTTTGGTGTATCCATCACCTGAGCAGTGTACACTATACCAAATGTACAGGCTTTTATCTCTCACCCCGCTTCCCACCCTTTCCCCCCGAGTCCCCAAAGTTAATTGTGTCATTCTTATGTCTTTGCATCCTCATAGCTTAGCTCACATTTAACAGTGAGGACATACCATATTTGGTTTTCCATTTGTGAGTTACTTCAATTAGAATGATGGTCTCCAATTCCATCCAGGTTGCTGCAAATGCCATTATTTCATTCCTTTTTATGGCACAGTTGTATTCCATGGTATATATACTATATTTTCTTTATCCACTCATTGACCAATGGGCATTTGAGCTGGTTCCATTTTTTGTGCTTGTGAATTGTACTGCTATAAACATGTGTACAAGTATCTTTTTCATATAATGACTTCTTTTCCTCTGGGTAGGTACCCAGTAATGAGATTGCTGAATCAAATAGTAGTTCTACTTTTAGTTCTTTAAGGAATCGCCACAGTTTTCCATAATGGTTGTACTAGTTTACATTCCCACCAGCAGTGTAAAAGTGTTCCCTTTTCACTACATCCATGCCAACATCTGCTGTTTTTTGATTTTTAAATTATGGCCATTCTCGCAGGAGTAAGGTGGTATCACATTGTAGTTTTGATTTGCATTTCCTTAATCATTAGTGATGTTGAGCAGTTTTTCATATGTTTGTTGGACTTTGGTATATCTTTTGAGAATTGTCTATTTATGTCCTTAGCCCAGTTTTTGATGGGATTGTTATTTTCTTGCTGATTTGTTTGAGTTCCTTGTAGATTCTGGGTGTTAGTCCTTTGTCAGATGTATAGATTGCAAAAATGTTATCCCACTCTATGGGTTGTCTGTTTATTCTGCTGATTATTTCTTTTGCTGTGCAGAAGCTTTTTAGTTTAATTAAGCCCCATCTGTCTTTGTTTTTGTTGAATTTGCTTTTTGGTTCTTGGTCATGAACTCTTTGCCTAAGCTAATGTCCAGAAAGGTTTTTCCAATGTTATCTTCTAGAATTTTTATGGTTTCAGGTCTTAGATTTAGTATTTGATCCATCTCGAGTTGATTTTTGTATAAGGTGAAAGAT